GTTACGCTCTCACATAAAATAGTGGCTGAAAAAAAAAAAAGAAAGAAAACAAGTTTTCTCCAAAAGCTGCTCTTTTTTGTCTTTAAATATTTCTTTTTATGCATATTTTCAATTACTTTTTAAAAAAAGGCCAACATAAAGGTATTAAAAGCAATAAAAACAACAGTAGCAACAACAAACAATAATAAATTCAACCAAAATTAGCAGTATTTTTGGGCAGTTTAGTTAATGTAACAAACTTGATAAAAAAAAACTTTTTTTTTTTTGATGATTAAACAATTTGTTTGTAATTGATAAAAAGAAGTATTAATTGCTAACAAAATTTTAGTTACTGGTGATGACAGAGGTCTTAGATGGAAAAACAATAGTTTTTGTTCATTTGAAACTATTAAATGTTCAGTTGACGATATCTGCGAATGTTGTTGTTTTCAGACAGCTATCTACAACAAAATCGTATAAAAACTTCATCGTCAATAATATTTTAATGGACTTTGTTTTTGCGGATGCTTAGTCGTTATCGTATTCTAACATTTAAACCGCAGAGCGGCATTTAATTGCTTTAATAAGCCAATCAATCGATGGGTCAGACAACAGACAATAAGCAGCCAACCATACGCATCTGCTGTATGCTGCACTGTAAGCTGTAATAAACTGATTGGTTAGCTGTGCTGAATGTCTCTGTGTCTGTATCTATGCTCTTCTGTTTAGTAAGCTTTAGCAGTAGACTACGGTAGTAGCAGTAAACAGACTGATGCTTAATGTATTTTGATGGAAAAAAAAACAGAACAAAGAATAGAAAAAACAAAAATTAGAGCAGAAGTTAGTTTTTCTTTACAGCTTTTTTTAAAGCAAACATTAAACTGTTTTGATGTGGCCTTCGTTCAACTGAAGATGAGCAGCATTCTTTGCTTAAGTTCCGTACCAAATTCAATTGCGACGAATAAACTTTTTTTTTTTCTTTTTTTCTCCTGTCTTTTTTTTGCAGCAATTATGAAAAAAAAAAGAACAACCAAAACCTGTTTTGTCTCGACGAAAACCCATGTTTATACCCTAAAAAAATTTTTTTTTTTTTTTGACCTTCTGTGTTCGTAATTTTTTTCACTTGACAACAGTACTCATTTTAATTGAAATAATTTTGAACCTAAATTTGCATTTGATATAGACAAAAAATAAAAGTGAAAAAAAAAGAGCGATATATAGACTGAGAAAAAAAAACTGTGTTCTTAGAGTCAATAAGCAATTAATTAATTGTAATCACTTATCATACTGTTGTTTTAGAATGCTAACTATGCTCTTGTAAAACGACTTATTTCTTCTGCTATTTGCAAAAAAAAAAAGTAACAACTAAAAAGCAGCAATTTTTTTTATACGTTTTTATCGAATACAAACTGCATTTGAAAAAAAAAAAAAAAGGTAGTAAATTAACAACAAATCAATAACTAAAAGATAAAAAAGCAAAAAACAAAATTTTCACTTTTTCTTCTTTTATTTATGTGTGTAAAAAGAAAAAAAAAAGAAGGAGAAGAAGAAGAAGAAGAAGAAGAAGAAGAAGAAGAAGGAAAGAGAGAAAAGAAATTGCTGAACAGATGATGTTCCACACTAAAATTTTGTCTTCCAAAATAGGAAAAAAAAATCCTTTAGAAAACTAGATTTTTTTACAGTCAGTCATCAAATGAATCAGAAGAAGACGAAAGCGACAAAAAAAAGACACTGAAATGATATGATAATAATAATAATAATAAATATAATAATAACAATAATAGTAGTATAAAAATTATTTATTTTTTATCAACACAAATTTTCTTCTTCTTTCTTTTTCACTTTTTTGTTTTTATTATCTTTCTATGTCTCTTTTTTTTCCCTCTCTTCTCTTTTCTATAATTAATTCATAAAAAAATCAAGGCTTTGCTGGCAAAACACTTAAGTTTGTGCATAATTATAGTGTTATTCTGTTTTTTTTTCACCATTTTTAAGAAGAAATTCTTTTTTTTTTTTTTGCTTACTACATTATCCTAAGCAGAAGAAAACTGATTCTAACAAAAAGAAGTTCTCTATCATTACAGCAGAGTTTCCTCCAGTGCTTATCAACAGCAACAGTAGCAGTATTAGCAGCGTCACCAGCATCAGTATGTCGACAACAGCAGCACTAGCACCAGCATCATCTTCAACTTCGTCATCTGAACTGTTCAGAGTTAGACTTGTCGATTTATTTGCTCTTAAATATTTAGCAATAACTTCGCCAAAAGCAAAAAAAAAAAAATGATGATAATGCTGATGATGATGAAGTTGGTGATAACGATCACAGTTTCAGAAGAACGTATTTAAAAATATAGAAAAGAAACAGCTGAATTTTATTTATCAGAGTAAACTTATTTGTAAAAAAAAAAAAAAAAAAAAAA